CAACATTGGCGTCTCTTATGTTCTTATGTTATGTTCATTGGCTGTCTTGGATAGAGAAAGAACCATCCTTCCTAAATACGTAGCGCTACTGAGCAGTACTCTATGTTTCAAGGTAGTTTTACACATTTGGAGAGGGGAAATGCGTCCCTTTATCTCGTCTTCGTTTGAGGAAGAGCCAAATAGCCGGTTTTGAGAGTGCAGCCTTCTACCTTGTCCACAATGTCTGTGTTTCAGTCCTTTGATCTATATCAGGGATCCCCAACATTGTGCCATTGGGCACCATGGTGCCAGGTGGAGCTTTTTCCTGGCAAGGCCTTCTGGTTGTTCAGTGGAGATTTGATTGGCTATGAAGATTTTTACAAACATTGCTTGGGCAGCAGCCACCACCACAGCACAAGGCACTTCACTGTACGGCTGAAGGTAAGCTGTGGCAGCCATTTTGCAGCTGGCTCCACTTCCTGTAGCAACCATTTCATGGCAGCCATTTTGCGGCTCCGCCCACCACACCATGTCAGGATTCTACAGGTGCCCACAGGCTTAAAAAGGTTGGGGAACCCCGGTCTAGACGGATGACAGGAAAACGAAGGTGACAAGTGGGTTGAAAAGAAGGTAACGAATCCTGCATTTGTGCCTGCATGAAATGCAGGCGTCCTCCTGTTGGAAGAATTAATGGCAGTCTCGGTCTTGCCCTCGAAGGAAAGAATGGGCCACAAGGGTAGAGCACCTCCTTGGCATGCAGAAAGTCCCAGGTTCAGTTCCTGGCACCTCCAGTTAAGGCATCCTAGGTAGGCAGGGGATGGGTAACACCTTTCTTGGCCCGAGCCCATGGAGAGCTGCCACTGATCAGAGCGGATGATACTGAGCTAGGTGGGCTGATTGTCTGTTTCGGAATCAGGCAGCTTCGTATGACCGGCAAGCTAACCCCTTCTGACGCTGTACCCTTTGCAGGTGCTGGAGGACAATGACTACGGGCGCGCGGTGGACTGGTGGGGCTTAGGAGTCGTCATGTACGAAATGATGTGCGGGCGGCTCCCTTTCTACAACCAGGACCACGAGAAGCTCTTTGAACTCATTCTCATGGAAGAGATTAGGTTTCCGCGCACGTTGTCGCCCGAAGCGAAATCTCTTCTGTCCGGCTTGCTAAAGAAGGATCCTAAGCAAAGGTGAGACCACCCGTTTGTGTGTCCGGGCTTGGGGAATTGGTACTTCCCTAGATGTGAGTACTTGGAAGTAGGCGGAATCTTGCCAACGAAAGAAGGCCCCCTCGACAGGCACCTCACATGTCCATAGTGGGGGGTCTCACCACCCTGGAAGCTCCAACCTAGGTAGCCCAGGCTAGCCCGATCTCATCTTGGAAGCTAAGAGAAGAGAGGGAAGAGAAGATATTGGATTTATACCCCACCCTTCACTACCCAAGGGAGCCTCAGAGCGGCTTACAAACTCCTTTCCCTTCTCCTCCCCACAACAGACACCCTGTGAGGTAGGTGGGGCTGAGAGAGCTCTGACAGAAACTGCTCTTTTTCAAGAACAGCTGTGCCAGAACTATGGCTTGCCCAAGGTCATCCAGCAGCTGCAAGTGGAGGAGTGGGGACTCAAACCCGGTTCTTCCAGATTAGAGTCCGCGCACTTAACCACTACACCAAACTGGCTCTCAGGGTCGGCCTTGGCTACTGTTTGGAAGGTCGACCTCCAAGGAATCCCAGGGGCATGACACGGAGGCAGCCAATGGCAAACCACCTCTGAAACATCTCTTGTCCTAAAAACAAGTCTAGCTCGCCATCTAGTGGTGCATAATGCTTAAAGAGCTAGAATTTCTGGCTGCCAAACAATATTAGGATCTCCTGGCTATTCTACACACAACGCCATACGATTATTATAATTATTACTACCCTGAAAGGTAAACACTAGGTGTGATAGCTAGGTTCAGGTTCAGTAGCACCTTATGGGCCAACAAGATTTTCGGAGTATAAGATTTTGAGATTCAAACCTCCCTTTGTCAGCCGAAGCATTAAAGAGTCAGTGCATTGTCACAGCTACAGACCCGGACATGGAAGACCCAGATTCGGATTCCATCTTGGCAGTATAGCTTGCTTTGGGTGGCCTGAACTGGATCCCTGTCTCTTTGCATGGTTCATTTCAAAAAGTCACAGGAAGGCTAAAATGCAGTATACGTTCTCCTTTTGTGGAAGAGCTCTATTCAACACAGACTGGAAGCCAGAAATGAAATATACCCTCCAGTGGCAGAGAAAGTCCAGCCGTGCTGTTTCTGACTCGCTTATTTGCTTAACAACCGGAGGTCATTTGCAAGTGTCTAGTTGTACAGTGCAAACCAAATTATTTAAGTGGCAAGGGTGCTAGGATGTATAAACTGAGTTAGCAAGCTGGTGCTTAGCAGTATTTTTCGGGTGTATTCGGGTATCCAGAACAGTATTTGGGATTCTCGGGAATTCAAGTATCCAAGTCCTGTATATTTTTGGGAATATCCAGGGCCTGCTTTGTAATGATCTGAGGTCTGTTCCCCACCCCCACCCCTTTAACAGAGTTTCCGGGCAATGGGAGAAAGATATCTCACCTGGCCTGGGGAAGGCAGCTCCCAGCCAGCGTGAGCCAGATGCAGGGCCCAGAAGTGTTTCAGGTCTAGCTGGCTATTTCTCCCTCCCTTCTTCCTTTGTGGGAGCAGGGCCTTTTTCCATGACGGCTTTTTCCTCCCAGTCCGCACCCCTGCGAAGTAGGATGGCTGGGGTCACCCTGTTCAGGGGCTTATTGGATTTGGACCCCATTGGTCCAATTTGCCTGAAACTTAGGGGTTCTTCAGTAGACAGGCAGCACTAGGTCTCCTACAGTTTTGGAGTCTCTTGGTTGAAAAATAGCCACAACAGCCCCTCCTCCAAATTCTCGCATAAGGAACCTGAATAATTCTGGGATCCTGGAAAAACTCTAATCCCGAAATGGTACTGGGGGACCAAATGTGAGTTTTTATGCCCTTCCTGAAACCCGAATCCAAAAAAACCAAGCAAACCATTTTTGTTTTCAGGTGCCTAATTGCCAGTACAGAAACTGGCTGGGTTTAATCACCTGGCTGATCGCTTGTTTATAGTCATTAATTTATTCAAGGAAGTCTACATCGCACATTTAGACAAAAGAACATAACAATAGTTGAAATACTTGAGAAAAATTCAAGGGGGGGAGTAAATATCGAATGCATAATTTTAAATATCAGATTAAAATTAAAACAGCTACAGAATCGCTGGAGGGAGGAGCTATGGCTCGGGGGTAGAGTTCAATCCCCGGCATCTGCCGTTAAAAGGTCTGGCAGTGGGTGATATGAAAGACCTCTGCCCGAGACCTTGGAGAGCCGCTGCCAGTCTGAGTAGATAATACTGACTGGGATGGATCGAGGCTCTGGTTCAGCATGGGATGGATCGATGCTCTGGTTCAGCATAAGGCAGTTTCATGTGTTCATGTGCATATTGAACTTGGCACCAAATTAATGGCAGCGGCGCGAATTTTTAATGCAGCCGGGATGTATTTGGCAACTGCCAGAGAGATGTGATTTTCATTTCCGGACAGAAGATGATAGTCGGTTGGGAAAAGTTGTAAGAAGAGGAATTAACCAGAGAAGCTCTTCAACTGCCATAGGATTTGCATGTGAAGAAGAAAATTGTGTCAGGGTTTAACTTGTTCATATTGTAGTTTAATTGCTTGCTTTGTTGTTGTTGCTTTGGTAGCTGCCTTGACACTAAGGAGAGATAAAACAGGACATTAAACATATAAATGGATACGTTGCATTATATCTACATTGTCATTTAATATAGTGTCATTTTTACACTGGCCAGTAAACCCCCCCCCCCATGTCAGAATACAATGTAGGATTTGCAATGCATTGGTGTGTAGCCGTACAAGACGTGGACAGTGCTATGCGCTAAATCGTGGTGTCTTTTCCCTCCACAGGTTAGGTGGTGGGCCGGATGACGCCAAGGAGATTATGCAAAACAAATTTTTTGCCGGCATCGTATGGCAAGATGTATATGAGAAAAAGGTACCTAATCGCAATCTGGCGTGGGTTTTTATCCGACTCTACGAAACTCAGGGCAACATACATAGATCTCATTGTCAGACTCCTGCAGCAATCAGTTCCGAACGGCTTTCATTCAAAAAAGTAAAGTTTATTGAGACATTGAGAGTATGCAGATATCTTAACCATCTTGTGTTAGAATTGAAGAAAAAGTGCGCGTAGTAAACAGATATACATCGTTCACAGAGGAGTAATGGGCTACTTTTCCCAAGAGAAAGGCTACACCAGGCACTGAAGGTCACTCAGAGATAATAGAAACGTAGGAGACACAGCAGAAATGAAACTCAACATTCCAGAGTCCGTCTCCCCCCCACTCCCATGTCAGCCAGGGCTTGAGAAAGGCCTAGCTGACACTCATCTGGTCTCTCCCCCCCCAAAAAAAATCTACACAACAACCCTATGAGGTAGGTTATGGCTGAGAGGCTGTCCCACGGTCACCCAGCAAGCTTCATGGACCAGTAAAGGATCTGACCCCGGCTCTCTCTGGTCTTGGTCTGCCACTCTAACCACTACACCACACTGAGTTTGTATATCTCAGATACAGCTTGTTTGCTTATCAACTGTTTCAGAGTCTTTCATGCAAATCACTCTGGGCAGATCCACAGCACAGTTTTAGATGGGTCGGACAGCTCTCTCGTCTGCCCTGGGGATCAGAGGGGAGCTAGGAATCGCTAAGAGAATTCTCAGAAACCCAGACCAGACTACACCTTCCAGGACAGTTCTTTTGGAGAAGGCATGATGGGGAAATTTGAGAAAAGCCTAGCTGGCGCTCAACAGGTCTCCCCCCCCCCCAAAATCTACACAACAACCCTGTGAGGTAGGTTATGGCTGATAGGATGTCCCACGGTCACCCAGCAAGCTTCATGGACCAGTAAAGGATCTGAACCCGGCTCTCTCTGGTCTTGGTCTGCCACTCTAACCACTACACCACACTGAGTTTGTATATCTCAGATACAGCTTGTTTGCTTATCAACTGTTTCAGAGTCTTTCATGCAAATCACTCTGGGCAGATCCACAGCACAGTTTTAGATGGGTCGGACAGCTCTCTCGTCTGCCCTGGGGATCAGAGGGGAGCTAGGAATCGCTAAGAGAATTCTCAGAAACCCAGACCAGACTACACCTTCCAGGACAGTTCTTTTGGAGAAGGCATGATGGGGAAATTGAAATAAGGTTGTTTGCCGTCACCGCACTCGGATAATATTGGTGCCATTCTCCAGGGCCCGGAGCCTTCCTCAGATGATAAGAATTTTCCAACTTCAATTCAAGGTGTTGGTCATGACCTTGAAATCCATTTGTGGCCTAGGGCCCATATATCTATGGGCCCACCTATTCTGATATGTTCCTTAGCAGCAGTTACACTCTGTGGATCAGGCCTTATTGACAGTGCCAGCTTGCAGGGAAGGTGAAGACCATAAGAGCATAAGAGAAGCCATGTTGGATCTGGCCAACAGCCCCTCCAGTCCAACACTCTCTGTCACACAGCGGCCAAAACCCAGGTGCCATCAGGAGGTATGCCAGCAGGGCCAGAGCTCCAGAAGTCCTCCCACTGTTGCCCCCCTAAGCACCAAGAATACAGAGCATCACTGCCCCAGACAGAGTGTTCCCTCTGTACCTTGTGTGGCTCCATACATTTATCCAATCCCCTCTTGAAACTGTATATTCTTATAGCTGTCACCACTTCCTGCGGCAGTGAGTTCCACGTGTTAATGACTCTCTGGGTGAAGAAGCCAAAGAGTTCTAAACCGACTGCTCAGCAATTTCATTGCGTGCCCACTGAGTTCTGGTATCGTGAGAAAGACCGTTCCTGCCAGAGCATATTCCATAGCAGCCCTAACATCATGGAATGGTCGTCCCAGATCTGTCAGGAAGCCCCCTTCCCGTTGCATGAATTTTCCAGAGGCTTTGCAAGACTCGGTTGTTTAAAGGGGGCCCTTACATAACTAAATCGGCATTTGTAACACATTGGCGTGCATGGATTGAGTTGGCCTTTGTTAAGTGTTGTATGTGTGTTGTATGTGTGTGTGCGTATTCAGGGCTGTCAAATCGCTTCTGACTTAGGTCGACCCTACGAATTTTAATGTCCTCCAAAACATCCTCTCGTCAACAGCCTTGCTCAGGTCTTGCAAACTGAGGGCCCTTGTGGCTTCCTTTATTAAGTCAATCCATCTCATCTTGGATCTTCCTCTTTTCCTGCTGCCTTCAACTTTTCCTAGCATTATTGCCTTTCCCATTGACTCTGGTCTTCTCATAATGAGAGTATGATAGCTTCAGCTGAGTCCCTTTAGCTTCTAGGGAGAGTTCAGGCTTGATTTTACCTCGGAACCCACTGATTTGTCTGGGTTAGAGAGCTATATTATTTGATAGTTCTTCTGCTTCTAATCAGCATTGTAACCTGCCTGGAGTCCCTTCTTGGGAGAAGGCAGGCTAAGAATGCCGTAAATTAAAGGGAAAACTAGAGATGTAAAATTTCTGGAAATGTTGAAGCTTGGAAAAAAAACCCGGGTTTTTTCCGTTTTTTTCCCCCCGGGGCAAAACGGAAATTTTCGGAAAAATAGAAAAAATGCTACATTAGCATTTCTTTTGTCTTTTTTAGATTGAAAGTCATTCTGTTACTTTAGGAACATAAAATATGACTATGGACATTTTTACTTGGCATGAAATTATCACAACTAGCATATTAAAAATATAGTGTATCCAAACAATTATTACAAACAGAATACCCACCCACATGCAAAAACAAAACTGAAACTTTTTTATTTTCTTCTGACAATCGCACCTCCTAAAGGAAGAAATGCATCTTGTTCTTGCATTGGAGAGTTCAGTTTGTAACCTAGGACTTAATTGTCCTCAGCCTTTTATCATTCGAGTTGCCCTTTTCTGCACTTTTTCCAAAGCTATAATATCCTTTTTAAGGTGTGGTGCCCAGAACTGCACACAGTATTCCAAATGAGGTCTCACCATTGATTTATATAGGGGCATTATTATATTGGCTGATCTGTTTTCAATACCCTTCCTAATAATCCCCAGCATAACATTGGCTTTTTTTATTGCAGTCACACACTGTCTCGACATTTTCAGTGAGTTATCCACTACAACTCCAAGATCTCTCTCTTGCTCAGTCTCTGCCAGTTCAGACCCCATCAATGTGTATTTATATTTAGGATTTTTGGCTCCAATGTGCATCACCTTGCACTTGGCCACATTGAACCCCATTTGCCATGTTGACGCCCACTCGCCCATCCTTGACAGATCCCCTTGGAGTGCCTCACAATCCTCACTGGTTTTCACCACCCTGAACAACTTTGTATCATCCGCAAATTTAGCCACTTCACTGCTAAATTGAAGTGGAAATGATTTGGAAAATATTTGGAAAATATTTGGAAAATATTTGAACACCTTGTTTTAAAATATTTTATTCATCATGTTAAAATAAAACGTTCCATAATCAATTTTTTTCTTTTCTTTTTTCAATTTTTCCAATTTTTCGGGAAAAAAACAAAAAGGCTTCAGGAAAAAAATGGAAAAAAACTGGGTTTTTCCCGGGCCTTCACATCTCTAGGGAAAACCTGGGCCCTTTTGTATGCGGCCGTCCGCTTTGCCACTCAACTTCCTCTTCCTTCGGAAGCCTTCAGGGGCCACTTGGGTAGTTGGGAAGCTGATGTGATACTCAAAATAGGCAGGGACTTCATTCATCTTGCAGAATTCCCAGTGCCACTTCTACCAAAGCCTTCCGTGAAGCTAGATTAGGGTGGATGGCCGTGTTGATCTGAAGCAATGGAACAATGCTTGAGTCCAGCGGCACCTTTAAGAGGGACAAAGTTTTATTCTGGGTATAAGCTTTCGTGTGCAAGCACACTTAGACTCACAGAATCATAGAGTTGGAAGGGATCTCCAAAGTCATCTAGTCCAGGCCCCTGCCCAGTGCGGGAAATTCACAAATACTTCTTCAGCGTGTGCATGTACACAAAAGCTTCTACCTAGAATTAAGCTGTGTCAGTCTTTAAGGTGCCACTGAGCTCAGACTTCATCTTACCGAAGTCTGGTCACTTCCATCCGTGCCCTCTCATTACTTCCTGTCCTGCAAGTCTTCTTTTGTTGTTGTTGAGGATGATTTATAGCACGGGAGTTTTATTTTTAAAAATGACCAGCTAAACAATTTGCGTAAGCACAAACATGATTGCTTGAAAGTGTGTGTTGTGTTGCAGATGTTCCTTGTCGCCAGACTCCCCGTTCCTCCGTCTTCCCTCTTGGGCCTCCCAGTTCCCTGTTTATCACTGTGTGGCTCTCTGCTGCCCTCCAGTGTGCTCACTGGTTTATAACGTGCATGTTGTCCGTAAGCTAAAAGTGACATTTTGAGCTCCACCAGATGTTTGAGGCAGTGTTTTTGTTTCTTTTTTCAGTGACTGCTTCAGACTTAGGGAAGCAGCATAATTCTTCCCAAGCAGATGGCCATTTATCAATTAAAAACACCTTCTGCAGATCATGTAAGACAGTTGCATCTACTTAAATCGAGATGGGTAGCCCCGTTAGTCTGTCTGTAGCAGTAGAAAAGAGCATGAGTCCAGTATAGCAAGATTTGTGGCAGGCTAGGAGCATTCTTGAGTCAAGGCTCACTTCTTCAGATGCCCATGAAAGCTCCTACCCTGCCACAATTTTTTTTTTAGTCTTTAAGGTGCTTCTGGACTCTTGCTCTTTTCTACAGTTGTGTCTACAGTTGCATCGATTCCCCCCTCCCCAGCACGAAGTTACAAAAATAAAAGTACAGATGAAACCATGTTTGTGTGTTCTGGGCATGTCTGTCTATTTTGAAGGCCTCTCCCTGCTATGCCCCCCCAAATATCCACAAAGCCATGCTGAATGTGTTTTCGATCCTTCATCTTTAAAAACAAGCAATAATAAAAGAACCCCGTCTTCTCTCTGTTTGCCAAGCTTCGTTTGGATATTGTTCCAGTGGCTTGTGGGGGTTGGATCTCCCCTCCCAGTGATGTAGGGGACAACCTGTTTCTGTGCATGTTTACTTGGCTGCAAGTCTTGGCCTTCAGTACAACTTGCTTCCTGCTAAACATGAATATCAAGAGCTACCTTACACTGACTCAGACCATGGGTCCACCAAGGTCAGTGCGGTGTACTCAGACTGGCAGCGGCTTACAATCTCCTTTCCCTTCCCCTCCCCACAAAAGACACCCTGTGAGGTAGGTGGGGCCGAGAGAGCTCTGACAGAAACTGGTCTTTTTCAAGAACAGCTCTGACAGAACTATGGCTTGCCCAATGTCATCCAGCCAGGTGCAAGTGGAGGAGTGGGGAATCAAACCCGGTTCTCCCAGATTAGAGTCCGCGCACTTAACCACTACACCAAACTGGTTGAGACCTTTCACACCACTTACTGCTAGGGCCATTATTTATTTATTTATCACATTTATACCCCGCCCTCCCCGCTCTCCATTGAACTGGAGATCATAGAATGTTAGAGTTGGAAGGGATCCTGCAGGTCATCTAGTCCAACCCCCTGCACTCTGCAGGAGCATAGCCGAAAGACAGCCCTACAACAACATACCTGAAAGAAGGTCGTCCAGCCTCCGCTTGAAAACATCCAGCGAAGGAGCATCCACCACCTCCCGAGGCAGCCTGTTCCACTGCTCAACCACTCTTACAGTTAGGAAGTTTCTCCTGATTTTTAGCTAGTATCGACTCCCTTGTAATTTCCACCCATTAGGTCTAGTCTTGCAATCCGGAGCAAGAGAGAAGAGATCTGCTCCGTCTTCTACACGACAGCCCTTCAAATATTTGAAAACTGCAATCATGTCCCCTCTAAGCCTTCTCTTTCCCAGGCTAAACAGACCCAACTCTTTCAGCCTTTCCTCGTAAGACTTGGATTCCAACCCTCTCACCATCCTGGTTGCCCTCTTCTGGACACGCTCGAGCTTGTCAACATCCTTCCTAAAATGTGGTGCCCAAAACTGGACACAGGACTCTAGGTGAGGCCCGACCATAGCAGAACAGAGCGGAACGACCACCTCCCGTGATCTGGACACAATGCTTCTGTTAATGCATCCTAAGATTGCAGTAGCTTTCTGTAACTCTGGAGGTGCTGGGGCCTGAACTTGGGACCTCTTGCACTACTACCACCGCCTTTCTGCAGTCAGGGTTGCCCTAGGTGTCTGTGCTCTGATCGAGGTTTTTAGCTCTCTCGCCCTCCAGCCTGCCACTGTCCTGATGTTTTGCCAGCTTTGCTGGCAATGCGGACTGGTTTGGGAACTTGTCCAGTGTTTTATGAGTATTTTCATTTTTATTTCTTTATTTCCCAAATTTATACCCTGCCCTCCCAGCCGAGTACTCTTCCCTCACCACTGTTGTGCCCCGTTAATACAAACAGAAATATAGTGGCCGATTAGGAATTGAGTCTTTTTTAAAGGGGCTTTTCTTAAACGTGTGTCTTCCTCTTCTGCAAGAGTCTCCCTTTCCCTCCTTTTCACGAGAAGGTTTATTATTTATTTATTTATTTATTATCAAATTTGTACCCCGCCCTCCCTGCAAAGCAGGCTCAGGGTGCCTCCCATAGAGACATAAATACAGCTTAAAAATCATACAATCATTCAATTACATAAAGCACCACAAATAAAACCAATATAAACACAAAGTGCTGGCGGCAATTAAAATTAGCTTAGATGGTACATTATCAGAGGGATTTCCACTGCCCAGATGTTCTCCGATGTTTCTGCTCGTAATCTGCTGGATGTTAGACCCACGGAGCAGGGCTCTAGGGTAGTGGTGGCCCCTAATTGAATGCCTGGCGGAAGAGCTCCGTCTTGCAGGCCCTGCGGAACTGTTGCCCAGGCAGGGTCCTTCTACAGAAGGAAGCAATGCCGCACGTATCGGCAAGTCACGTAAAACTTAAGCTGACCCTGTGAATTAACAACCTCCAAAACTTCCTGTCATTAACGGCCTTGCTCAGGTCTTACAAAACTCAGGGCCGTGGCTTCCTTGATTTGAGTCCATCCATCTCAAGTTGGGTCTTCCTCTTTTCCTGCTGCCTTCAACTTGTTTGTCTTCAAGGGGCCTTTAGACTTCCGGGGGTTTTGTTTGTTTGTTTGTTTGCTACCCTGACCTGGATAGTCCAGGCCGGCCCGATCTCCTCAGGAGTCTCAGAGCAGCTTACAATCTCCTTTCCCTTCCCCTCCCCACAACAAACACCCTGTGAGGTAGGTGGGGCTGAGAGAGCTCTGAGCTCCTCAGATCTCGGAAGCTAAGCAGGGTCAACCCCGGTCAGTACTTGGATGGGAGAGCCCCAAGGAAGCTCTGGGTTGCCTTGCAGAGGCAGGCAATGGCAAACCGCCTCTGTTAGTCTCTTGCCTCGAAAACGCTACGAGGTTTCTATAAGTTGGCTGCGACTCGATGGCCAAACAACAACAAACAATGCTGACCTCGATTGCCTGGTCTCATCAGATCTCAGAAGCTGAGCAGGGTCGACCCTGGTCAGTATTTGGATGGGAGACCACCAAGGAAGCCCCAGGTTGCTACGCAGAGGCAGGCAGTGGCAAGCCACCTCTGAACTCTCGGTCTGGGGCCAGGGATGCTCTCTCTTCTTGGTGCTTGGGGGGCGGGGACAGTGGGAGGGCTCCTAGTGTCCTGGCCCCACTGTTGGACCTCCTGATGGCACCTGGTATTTTTGGCCCCTGTGTGACACAGAGTGTTGGACTGGATGGGCCTTTGGCCTGATCCAACATTTGGCTTCTCTTATGTCCTTATGATCTTATGTTAACAGCTCTTGCCTTGAAACCCCTGTGGAGTTGCCATAAGCCGGTTGTGACTTGATGGCAGAAAACAAGCAACGACTAAAAACCCCAATACAGTGACACTGCTGTCTCTGTGGAATTACAGTGGCCCATCAAGTCCACCATACACACACACACACACACGCACACAAAGTGGCCAGCCGGTTGCCCTGGAGGGCCAGCAAACAGGGCAGAGAGAACAAGGCCTTCCTCTGGTGCTGCCTCTGAATAGGGAGGTTCCCTTTAGTCGTCATGGCTAGTAGCCATTGACGGACCTCTCCTCCATGAATTCATTTAATCCCCTTTTAAGGACATCTGTAAGGACATAAGAAGAGATGAGCTTTGCTTTCTGGCCAGCGTCACCATTCCTGGGACTCAATCCCCTTGCCTTACCACATGTGCGTTTTCCCGAGTTTGGGAAAACGAGAGCCAGTTTGGTGTAGTGGTTAAACACGGAAACTCTAATGTGGGAGAACCGGGTTTGATTCCTCACTCCTCCACATGCAGCTGCTGGCATGACCTTGGGTCCGTCACAAGCTCTTTCAGAGTTGTTAGAGCTCTCTCAGCCCCGCCTACCTCACAGGGTGTCTGTTGTGGGGAGAGGAAGGGAAAGGAGATTGTAAGCCGCTCTGAGACTCCTTCGGGTAGCGAAGGGCGGGGCATGAATCCAATCTCTTCTTCTTCCCCAGTGAGCTATCGAGCCGTGACAAAATCCAGCCCGTCAAGCAATCACTTAGAAAGCCATCAGGAAGCAGCTGAAAAGCTGAAGTGACCATTAAGAAATATCAAAGCAGTAAAGTGAGCTGGTGAGAGAGCAAAACAAAATGCCCACTGTATTTTAGGAAGGGAGAGGGTTGTTAATTAGGAAATGGAAGGCGGGATGTCGCTTCAGGATGGGACACAGATTCCAGTCTTCTAACAGGACAGCCAAGGGCCTGATCCATCACTCGATTAGAAGGACCTGCTTTACCAAATGTGGCTGGTTGGTTTCAGTTTCTGACAGAAGGCCTTGTTAAAAAAATGATATGTTAAGTTGGCAGGGTGTATAGGAAAAGAAATAAGTGTGTGTGTGCATATGGGTATGTATTGCTCTGTAGGTCTGTAGGCATTTATAAAATGGCAATCACAAAAGGGCTATGCCGCAATGCTTTTTAAAAAGGATGTCTTTTTCCAGAACTCGCTTTTCCAACTTGTGAGGGCCACAGGAATAAACAGCTTTTAATAGGATTATCATGGAGGATAAGTCTGGATCAGACCAGCGGTCCATCTAGTCCAGCATCCTGTCTCACACAGTGGCCAACCAGTTCCTCTGGAGGGCTAACAGTAGGGCATAGAGGCCGAGACCTTCTTTAGAAGAAGAGCCCTGCTGGATCAGACCAATGGTCCACCTGGTCCAGCATTCTGTCTCACACAGTGGCCAGCCAGTTCCTCTGCAGGGCCAACAACAGGGCAGAGAGGCTGAGGCCTTCCCCCGCTGTTGCCTCCTGACTCTGGATTCAGAGGATTAGTGCCTCTCAATGTGGAGGTTCCCCTCAGTCACCATGCCTAGTAGCCATTGATAGACCTCTCCTCCATGGATCTATCTAACCCCCTTTTAAACCTGCCTATTCCTGTGGCCACCACCACATCCTCTGGCAGCGAGTTCCACCTTGCAATCACTCACCGTGTAAAGTGGTATTTCCTTTTGCCCCTCCTGAACCCACTGCCCATCAGCTTCATTGGATGCCCTCAAGTTCCTGTGAAGAACCTGACAGTGTTATGGTAAGGATAAAAGGGTGGGAGATGCTGTTGCCACTCTTGAGCTTGTGGAATATGTGCAGAGGTTTTCGAACTTGCCATACGTGATTTAGGGTTGATTCGGGGTATGATTCCGTCATTCTGGTTTATAGCCATACTCTTGGGTCCGCTCTCCGGTATCCTGCAAACTCAGGCATTTGGCTTTTGTTTTTGCTTCCCAGCTGGTACCTCCATTTAAGCCACAGGTGACGTCTGAAACGGACACACGCTACTTTGACGAAGAATTCACAGCACAGATGATTACAATCACCCCCCCAGACCAAGGTAAAGGCAGAGCCGTTTCCTCTTGTCTGATTCACCAGCCCTGTGTTAACAAAGCCACGGCATGCCGTGACGGAGCCCGCTGACCCCAGGAAGCAAAATCTAAACGCCGCTGTACAGCAGCTGACAATCAAGATCCCTAAAATGCACTTCTCACTCTATTAAAAAAAACCCGTTATTGCTCTTAAAGACAGCCAAGTGTTTTAGCTGTAAAACAAGGGTGTGGTATGAGCCCTCAAGTTGCTTCCGACATGCATATGGCAACCCTGTGAGTGAACGACCTCCGGATTGTCCCACCGTTCACAGCCTTGCTCCCAGGTCTTGCAAACCGAGGGCCTTTGTGGCTTCCTCAATTGAGTCAACCCCATTTCCTGTTGGGTCTTCCTCTTTTCCTGCTGCCTTCCAATCTACCTGGCATCATTGCCTTTTCCAGTGGCCCTTGTCTCACTGCTGGAACGGCACCACAAAAAGGATGCCTTCCAAAGAACGGGCTGAGCCAACCCTAAAGTGGCAGGCAGGTGATTTTTTTTTTTACACTACATGTTGCCATCGAAATCAGTCCCTTCCGTTCAGTATAGACAGTTCTGACCTTGTCGAGGCCAGAAAAAATAATACTGCAACTCCTGAGTGCATTGAAGGGGCTGGATTCAGCAACCCGTCAGCAGAAAGTACTGATGGTCGTGGATATTTCTTACATCTCTTTTTCCCAGCAGTCCTTTCCAGCTCCTGGAAAGTTGGTTCTCAGGGCCAGGGGACCCTCGTAGGCTAATGATCATGCAGATCAGGAGGCTGCTGCGTGGATGGGGAAGGGGAGGGAATCGCTGTTCCTTCTGCATCGCGGCACAGATGGAAGGGGGAGGAGAGAGTTTTTCACCTGCTAGGACATGGGGCACCACGGCAACGACGAACACCTTTTCCGGTGCCCACCAAATGTTTTTAGAAAGTGGTCCGTTCCAAGTGGGGCTTCCAATTGGCCATTGGAGATTTGATTGGCTGTACAGATTTTTTTTAAAAAAACCATTGCTTTGGCAGCAGTTGCCACTGTTCACTGTGTAAGGATGACCAAAGAGAGATCACAGGATGAGTGAGTAGAAAATAGTCAATGGCAACCAGGACATATTTACGAAGGGAATATCGCTCTTTTATAGATTTTTCGAAAAATAGATCAATATTACTACTAATACATATACATGGTGCTGGAGAAGACTCTTGAGAGTCTCCTGGACTGCAAGGAGATCGAATCAGTCGATCCTAAAGGAAATCAACCCTGACTGTTCCCTGGAAGGCCAGATACTGAAGCTGAAGCTCAAATACTTTGGTCACCCAATGAGAAGGGAGCACTCCCTGGAGAAGACCCTGATGCTGGGAAAGACTGAAGGTAACAGAAGAAGGGGGATGGCAAAGGATGAGATGGTTAGGCAGTGTTATCGATGCAACGAACATTAAGTTAAGCAAACTCCGGAGGACAGGAGGGCCTGGTGTGATGTGGTCCATGGGGTCACGAAGAGTAGGACTCGACTGTGCGACTGAACATCAACAACAACAGTCCATCTCCGTACATTCATACAAGAATAAACATCAAAAAATGATTCCACGATGTTGGCAAGCACAGTCCAATAATCTAAAGTTCTTACAAACAGTAAATCTTCTTTGTGTCTGTCTTGTACTAATATTGGATTGTAGGTAAATAGCATAAGAGAGATGGCATGCAAAGATGAATGCTGAGTAGGAAAGGATTCACTGGGTCCACACGCATTCTGCTCTGAAGAAGGCTTATGAAACAGGTGTCGGAGCAAGCCTGTCTGCAGATTGGTGGCCTTTATGCTATTTGCCTCCAATCCAATATTACTACGAGAAAGACACAAAGAAGATTTACTGTTTGTAAGAACTTTAGATTATTGGTCTGTGCTTGTCGACATTGTGGGATCATTTTTTTGATGTTCATTCTTGTATGAACGTACAGAAATGTATTTGTATTAGTATTAATATTGATCTATTTTTTGAAAATCTATAGAAGAGCGATATTCCCTTCGTAAATATATCATGGTTGCCATTGACTATTTTCTACTCGCTATCCAATGTGTGACAGAAGGTAAGCCATGGTAGCCATTTTGTAGCTGGCTCCACATCCCACAGCAACCCTTTTTGTGGCAACCGTTTTCTGGCTGCGCCCAGTGCCCTGTGTCACAAATCTGAAGGTGCCCATAGGCTCAACAAAGTTGGGGACTCTTCTGTTAGGTAAAAGGAAATATGGGTAGGATCAGGGATGCCTGCTTTCGTTACTCCCCGTCTTACTGAGTGCATCACTGTTGTAGTTAATCCTGTGCTTTCTTGCTGCTTCCAGACGACAGCATGGATTGCATCGACAGCGAGCGACGACCTCATTTCCCTCAATTCTCGTATTCCGCCAGTGGGACGGCTTAACATTTTGCTCGCCCACACAGAGGAAGTGGTTCAACAGCATTTTGGGGACATTTATTTTGATGACGGACACTAGAGAACTCTCTACGACACGTGAATTGCAAACTATGTTTGTACTTGGGTTCAGATGAATTTGTAGAAAGCCTTGCGGGTTGTCTATTTAAAGCAATCCTGATGCGTTTTTTGAGATCTCCGATGCATTTTTTTGAGAAGGAAGACAAGAAATCCATTCTGAAAACGATTAAAATGTTGTTTAAAAATAAAAGGGGGGAAAAAGCATTTTCTTCTGGAAACAAAAAATGACCTTTTAGGTTTTTTAAGAATCTGCACCCCTGACACCGTTTAATTTCTAGAAGTTTACAGCATCCAACATGGCGGCTGCATTGACCATTTAACTAAACAACAACACAGTTTCTTATTTATTTCGCACAGCTTGTCACGTAAGTCACAATACAAGAGACGAGGCTTAGGGTACAAGAATGGAAGTGACAAAAAATGAAGAAATTCCAGAGATGTGACGGTTTGACTTCCACTTGGGCAGCCATGAAGATGATGGCCGCTCTAGGAAATTAATGATAGCAATGGCATTGCTCACCTCAGTGAGGTGAAATAAATTGTGGGAGAGAGAGAAAAATAACCCAGGTGCAAGAGACATTACATATCAAATGGAGCTGAGTGTGGAATCCGTTCCGTTTTCAACATTACACAGGGAAGCATTTCTCTGAAGGTGCATTGACTGATCCCATTTGGAAGGGGGGGGTTGTGTGTGTGTGATAAGATGGGCTTTGCCAAATCTTGTCAATCACCCACTGGCAATTTCTCCCATACAGGCAGGCTATTTTGAAACTAGCTGAGGACGTTCCGGAACAATGCATTGCTTCCCACCCCACCCACCCCACCTGTTTATTCTGCTTGTCCCAGGAGTTTTCCGGAGGGCATGGCCCCAAGGCAAATGAGGCGATTTCTCAGTCCCATCCATACATGCTTATACAGCTGCAAAATTGACCTCCGAGGAGTCCATGTTCTGTTTTAAAAAAAAACACGGAAAGCTTTTTTCCAAGTTGCCTTCTAACAAAATGAAATGATGGAGCAACGGACAAATTTTGGGCACCGGAGCCATTTTTCTTCATACGTTCAAGGGGCCCTGGTAAAAACGGCCACATGCCAGACACAGTTCGACTGCAGTCCTGAATTTTTCTGCTCTTTTTTAAAATGTACATTTTGTAAAGGTTATTGTGGGGGGGAGGGGGGGGGAAGGGAACACTTTGTGCTTGGAGGAGACTCCTTTAGCAGTGGCAGGGGTTGTGTGTAAAAAGAAGATAGGGCAGGGTGACACCTCAGGAGTCCAAGGGAAAAAGGGCGTTCAAAAGGTGATTATTATTATTTTTTTCATTCTTAGAACTTTTTTCACCCTTGGCTCTCTCTCTCCCCCCCCCCCATGGTTTTTTCTTTTATTTTCGTAAAGAAACCACTTCATTCTGACTCTGCCAAAAATGATATCAAGATCATCTTTTTGCCGTTGCTGCGGCCTGGGCTTTCTAGCTCCCACTTGTGCTGCGAATGAATTTATTCAGTTGTGGCTTTTCTGTTCCCTTAGATACGGTTTTTTTTTTTTTTGCTTTGTTTCTCTGTTCTTTTATCTGTATAAAGTTGATTAAATAAACTGCAGTTCCTTAGCATTTTTTTTTTTAATTTGAAAGGGAGCATATTTAAAGTACCCTCAAACTTTTCCCTCTACATGAAACCCCGTTATGTTTTGTTTGGGTTTGTTTTTTTTGTTTTTTTACAAAGTTCAGTTCTAGTATTTTTACTTATGATATGAAAGTTTCCCTCAATACTTCAATAAAATGCGCTTTAACAAGTTACCTTGGTCTGTGTTGTGTCCTACCAAAATCCTTCCCTCCGTGCCCCTGTGCCTAGAACACTTCAGTTCCTGCTACCATCAGACAGGGACCTGCTCATGTAGCAGTTTGATTGAGGGAGACAAAAAAACCAACCTCCTCCCTCCTGCTTGTTTATTTACCCTACCGCCCAAATAGTGGATCCAAAATTCAACAGGACTGTCAAGTTTCTAAAAAGATGTTAAGGCACTATGGTGGAGAACTTAAGCTGAGTTAGTGTGAGCCAGCTCACGTTTTTTTAGCCTCCAGCTCACACATCACACAAACTAATCTATGCGGTAGCCAGTGTTCCCCCTAAGCTGTGGAGTCCTGTGAGCAAAAATTCTACTTTGTGAGTCACGGGCATTAAAGTTGTGAGCGGGCGATTTGGCTACTGCATAAATTAGTTTGCTCTGGAGCCCTCCTTCCTGAGCTCAGACAAAAATGTGTGAGCTGGAGGCTAAAAAAACTGTGAGCTAGCTCACGTTAGCTTAGAGGGAACACTGGCGGTAGCCAAATCGCTCGCTCACGACCTTAATGCCAGCAGCTCACAAAGTAGATCTTTTGCTCACAAGACTCCATGGCTTAGAGGGAACATTTCTTTTTGAGCCCGTGGGCACCATGGGAATTCCGTGGTGGGTGAAACCACAAAATGGTTGCTGTGGGAGGCGGAGTCAGCCATGAAATGGCAACGGCAGGAGGCAGACACACACACACCCACGAGAAACACATGTGCAAGGGACAAGAAGAGTAATTTTTTTTAATGCCCTTAGAGAGAATAAAAGAAACTCTACGGTGGCTAGCTTGTGCTGAGGCAGTGTTATTTGAATCTCCTGAGCCAATCAGATCCCCAGCGCTGCTGGGCAGTAGCTTCTCGTGGACATGCCCACTTTCTAAAAAAGCTTGACGGGTGCCAGAAACCACGGTGCCCGCAAAGCATCTAAGTAAACTCCTCCCCCTCCCCAATAGTTATGGAACAAAGTTGGGGTCTGAATGGGAGGTTGTAAATCAGTGGAAAGTATGCACTAAAACACTGGAAACAGACAAGAACTAAACCTGCAGTATTCATGTATTTATTCACTTATACGTTGCCTTTCTCCTCGATGGGAGCCCAAAGCAGCTCATGTGTAGTTCTCTCCTCCATTTTATCCTTCCAACAACCCTGCGAGGGAGGTTAGGTTGGGATTGTGTGACTGGCCCAAGGTCACTCGGCAACTTTCTGTGGCAAACTGGGGATTCCAACCGGGTTCTCCCAATATACCACACTGGCTCCCCACCTTCTTCTGAGGACCTCAGACCAGCATATGTGTGTGTCCCCGCACTTTATCCTCACAATAAACCTATGAGGTAGTACAGTGCTCCCTCTAAGCTGTGGGGTCTTGTGAGCAAAAATCCTGCTTTGTGAGCTACTGGCATTAAAGTTGTGAGCCAGCGATTCAGCTACTGCATAAATGAGTGTCCTGAGCCAAGAGGAAAATGCGTGAGCCAGAGGCTAAGAAATTGTGAGCTCGCTCACACTAACTCAGCTTAGAGGGAACACTGGAGGTAGACTAGATTGTGACTGGACCCAGCTTTCGTGGCAGTGCAAGGACTTGAAGCAGGGATTTGCAATCGGACATTGCCAGCCCGTTTAATGAAACCGATGATCCTGCCATTCCTAAATTTTCAGTGCCAGGACTATATAATAAATTTTGAATTGCACACCTCTAGCTTGAACTGCACTGTCCTCGGTCCTAGTCCAGCACTCTAATCCCCATTCCTGGCCCATCATTCTAACCATTACATTGCATAATGACTTACTGGATGTAGAGTTCCACTTCCTACAAACACTTGGCAGGCACCGGGAAAGGGCTTGGTGGATGCCACAGCGGAGACCCCTGATGTAAATAAAGAATGGTTGTGTGGGCAGGAAAAGAGCTGGGATTTTGTAACATGTTTCCCGACCGGTCCAACGTTTGCAGTGGTTCTGGATCTGCCTGTTAGGCCAATCCTCTCTCTCTCTCTCTCTGGATAAATGGAGGGAAGAGGGGTATGGTGGAATCGTGAAAAGATTCACAGATTTGGACTTGGGGGGAATATAATAGCAGAAACAAAAGAAAAAAATTATGTCAATACAAGAGGGGGATCCCATACTTCCCCCTCCATCGCTGAGACTAGCAAGGTGTAGTGGTTAAGAGCGGTGGACTCTGATCTGGAGCTCCAGATTCGATCCCCCACTCCTCCTCCCCATGATGCCTGCCGGGTGACCTTCGGCCAATCCCAGTTCTCTCAGAACTCTCTTAGCCCCACCTGCCTCACAAGGTGCCTGTTGAGGGAAAAGGAAGGGAAGGCAATTGTAAGCTGCTCTGAGACTCCTTAGGGCAGAGGAAAGTGGGGTATAAAAACCAATCCAGCGTGGTGTAAAGAGGGGTATACTCTAATCTGGGAAACCAGGTTTGATTCCCCACTTCTCTACATGGAGCCTGCAGGGTGACCTTGGGCCAGTCACAGTTCTCTCAGAGCTGTTCTCTCAAGGGCAATTCTCTCAGGGCTCTCTCAGCCCCACCCACCTCCCAGGGTGCCTGTTGTGGAGAGAGGAAGGGAAAGCGGTTGGAAGCTGCTCTGACTCCTCAGGGCAGAAGGAAGTGGGGTATAAAAACCAATTCTTGAGCCAGCGTGGTGTAAAGCGCGGTGGACTCTAATCTGGAGACGTGGGTTTGAGCCCCCACTCCTCCACATGGAGCCTGCAGGGTGGCCTTGGGCCAGTCAGTTCTCTCAGAAGTCTCTCAGCCCCACCTGCCTCACAAGGTGGCTGTTAAGGGGAGACGAAGAAAAGGCAATTGTAAGCCACTTTGAGACTCCTCAGGATAGAGAAAAGTGGAGTATAAAAAGCCCAACTCTTCTTCAGGCAAGGCTGCAGGCCCTACCACGGAGCCCAGCGGCCGGTGTCCGTCCAGGTCAATGCTGCCAGCATCCACCGCCGGGCCTGGAGCAGCCGCTGGTGCCCTCCTCCATTGCAGCCGCTGGGCCCAAAGCCGCTGTCAGCATCCTCCGCTGCGGAGCTCAAGCGGCTCCTTCAGTGCATTGTCTGTACAGGCTCAGACAATGCAATTACATTTGGGGGGGGGATTTAACCCCCTCCCCCATATATCTGATTCCTGATTTTTTTCTGCAAATTTTGGGGAATCCCCCAAGTTTGCAGGAAAATCTGTTTAGCATCCGTACGGTCCCAATCTACAGACATCGGTATCCACAGCTGGGGGCCACGTGTCGCTATTGGTATATAGATAACAACACAGCTCGCCATTTGCTGCCCTCCCCCAGGCTTTGGGGATTGTCTTTTCTTTACAATGCTTACTGGAAAGCCAGCATCCTGCTCGGAACAGGCAGCTAGCTAGAGCAGCACTGCGACTTAAAATGACTGTATGCGGGGAGGGGGGGGGAGGCATCTGCCGCCTTTACTTTTACGAGACAAACCAGCAACCGGTGTTCCCTCTAAGCTGAGTTGGCATGAGCTAGCTCACAGTTTTTTAGCCTCTGGCTCACAGATTTTTGTCTTCGCTCGGGAAGGATGGCTCCAAAGCAAGCTAATTGATGCAGGAGCCAAATTGCTCGTTCACAACTTTAATGCCAGGAGCTGACAAAGTAGAATTTTTGCTCACGACGAGACTCCATGGCTTAGAGAGGGAGTATTTGCCGGCCAGAGCAAGAAGTGATTGCTCAGCAGGTGTGAACGGGGACATGTTTCGGGAGTCCCAACAGCCTGTCCCGGTTGCAAGGGGGGAAAACAATCCTTGGACGTAAAGTTTGTCAGCCGTGTTACAAAAGCAGGTGGCGGTGCTGGAGGTTAGTCGAGTGAGTGTGAAAGAAACGTGTCAAAGGAAAATGGCTGGTCAAGAGGCCTCCACCAGAGCATGAGAAAAAGCGCTTCTCAAAAGACCGGGCGGCTACAAAAGGTTCACTTAGGCAATAAAATCTGGCTGGGAGCGGTGGGTAAGAAGAAGCAGCGGTGTGTGTTTTTTATACACAACTTGGCTGAGGCTCAAAACCAAGTGGATTCCCACCACTCAATTCTTGTTAACATTAAAAAGTCCTTAATGTGGCGGTGTTTTTTTTTAAAGGGTCTTTGGATGATTAAAAGGCTCTGTGTGCAATTGTGTGTATTTTTTTAATGCTTGAAGAGCTTTCTGGGTACACCCCCCCTCCCACGCACGCTCTTTAGAAGTAGTTATAAATGTATTCTAAACCTGATTTTTGCTGGATAGAAGAAGAGTTGGATTTATACCCCACCCTTCACTCCAGCCT